TAGTCCTCGGCTTACAATAATTTAGTGTGTTTAGTGAGAGTTTGAAGTTGCAATGGCACTGAAAAAAAGTGACTTGTGACTGTTTTTCACACATACAACTATTGCAACAACCCCATGGTCATGTGATTAAAATTTGGACACTTGGCAATTGACTCATATTTATGACGGTTGCAGTGTCCCGGGGTCATGTGATCACCTTTTGCAACCTTCTGACAAGCAAAGTCAATGGGGAAGCCAGAATCACTTAATAAGTGTTAATAACTTAACAGTTGCGGTGATTCACTTAACAACTATGGCAAAAAGATCTTAAAATGGGCCAAAACTCACTTAATAACTGTCTTGCTTAGCAAGAGAAATTTGGGGCTCAATTATGGTCATGGAGGCCCAGTGGTTAGAATGCGGTACTGCAGCCTAACTCTGTCCACTGCCAGCAGTTCGATCCTGACCAGCTCAAGGTTGATTCAACCTTCCATCCTTCCGAGGTCAGTAAAATGGGGATCCAGATTGTTGAGAGCAATAGGCTGACCCTGTAAACCGCTTAGAGAGGTTTGTAAAGCACTATAAAGCAGTATACTGTATACATCTAAGTGCTATTGCTATAGTCATAAGTTGAGGACTACCTGTATTTCTTCCGTGCCAGAAACCCCACCCTTGAGCAGATCTAGAACTCCTTCCACAAACCAGTCAGTGGTAGCAGAGAGACTGGTAGGAATAGGTATCATATGCAAAAGAAAAGCATCCGAAACTAATTTGATTTTAATTACAAGAAATATCAAACACTTTTTGGTCACTGTACAAATATTCTGATAGTAGTAGGTTGACAGTTAAACACATCAAGAGGGAGGCTGTATAGACACTCTCTTACATAGCAATCCCATAAAATGAGCTATTACAAAATGATAAATGTAATGTACACAGAGCCATCTTGCTTCATCAGTCGCAAGGATTATTGAAAAAATAAAATAAAAACAATCTAAGAATCTGTGGGGATCTAAGAAGTAGGTTTCAGGAATTAAATCTTGGATGGGGAGGACGAGGTTTGGAAATGTATCCACGTAGTAGTAGAGAATAGCAAAGGGGTGTTTTTATTCTCCCAAAGGAAACTGGAGATCAGAGACCAGCCCCAATCTCATTTGTAGTCAGTAACCAAATCTCATTAATGGAACAGCTTTAAACTCATATCACAGAGATAAAACACACTCACCAAAGGGGGGGGGGAATGTCCAGGTTTCCCTATTTTAACATGGAGATAAGTAGAGGGGCAAATTGGGTTTACAATATACATTGGGGCAGATCCTTCTAGATCAGGTGTCCCCAACCTTGGCAACTTTAAGATCTGTGGACTTCAATTCCCAGAATTCTATAGCCAGCCATGCTGGCTGGAGAATTCTGGGAGTTGAAATCCACAGGTCTTAAAGTTGCCAAAGTTGGGGACCCCTGATCTAGGATAGCTTGGACTACAACATCTGTCATGCTCACAGGACTGAGAGTTTTGAATGCTGTAATCTTCACCACTCAAGAACCCACTTTTAACCCCAACCTGATACATGGGACGCGTTTTTATTTCTTTTTATATAAATTAGAAACCTACTCCTCTTTCGGAGTATTTTCACAATGCAGATATACTGCTTTAGGAACTGTAGCTTATGTTAGGTGGGTAGCATCACCCACTAAAGAAGAATAAAACAGTGAAACTGTAACTTTGCAATAGACACACTCATATCTTTACTTCCTCCCCCCCCTCCTTTCACCTCTTGGTCATCCCAATATTTTTATTTGTCTTCTTCATAAATAGCATCACACTCTTGCTACTTTCAGGGAATCCGTTGTTGAAAACCAGAATTCCAGAGCAGTCTCCTGCCATAAATGAGAACGGATGCACTATTTGGAGCAATAACTGGTAGTATATTGTGATTATCTGATGAAACACTCTTCGCTCCTGTTTGTAGTTGGCTGCAGTTGGAAGATATCTCCACCCATAATAAATCTGAGGATTGACCAACATTAATTATGGGACTGACTTGCTCTTCTGTTGAAACTGTCTGTACGTTACTTCCTGGAAAACCCAATCAATCAGTCTTCAAACATTAAAACTCTTCTTATACCTCACAGGGAGAATTCCAAATGATGGAGAACCTCCATTTCCTTAAGCTTCTCTGATACCCCCTTGCCCAAAACTTCAGCTAAGAAACACCACTACCATTATATTCACTTCCAGTCTTGAAACTGCTTGCTGGGACATGGGATCCAGCAAAATAAAACCAGAAAGCATGTTTCCCACCATCGCCAAAAAAGCTTTCTTAAGAAAGGATACGTGACACAAAAACATGGTCACAACTTAAAGAATCTTTCCCACTCCCCCATCCACACTCGCCTGTCTCACTTGCAAAAAAGCAGAGATTAATAAAACATGTCTGGTGCTATACTGGAGGTTTAATCCCAAAGGTGCTTTTTCAAGAGGCAATTGGACTTCCTTTGTTCTTCCTTGAAGGCGTTTGCTTCCCAGAACTGAAGAAGCTTCCTGAATGAGAACTAAAATGTCTTCTAGGAAAAACAAAGGAAGTCCAGTTGTCTCCTGAAAAAGCACCTTTGGGACAACCATGACTTGGATGACTGAGAATCTCCATAGATTGTTAGAGGGTAAGTAACTGAGAACTACCGCAAAGATATTTAGCTCTTTATGATCAGAAGGATGCATCTGGCTTTTTAATTGGCATGCGCTATCAAAGCCAGGCAAAAATATTGAATTTTAAACAAAACACAAGCTTGCACGAATGCTCTCTGTGAAATTGAGTATTGCTTCCTTCTTTCTTATATTAAAAATTACAACCCAGTATCAACTTCTGGCTACATCCAGAATTTCTGGGAGCCACAGGTTATACATACCTTATCTCAGTGCTTCCTCAACCTTAGCAACTTTAAAATCAGTGGACCTCAAGTCCCAGAAGTGGATTTCAATTCCCATGTTGGCTGCGGAATTCTGGGAGCTGAGGGCCACTCATCTTAAAGATGCTAAGGTTGAGATCACTACCTTATCTTGTAGCAATGTCAGTTGTAATATACTGAGCACCTTTATTCTACTTTAATTCTGACATATTTAAATCTTGTCCCATTTAAGCAGAGAGACAGGAAGTGGTAACACACTCACTCTGGCAATAAAAACAACTTTTCTTTTTTGTAGCAGATAAATACTTCAGGCAAGGCCCTATACATTACAGTTCTATATACCTTTTCCATTATGATAAATAAATCGGGAGTAAGAACACAAAAGCAGAAACACGGTGGAATCAAGGAACATATAGACTAGATCCATCTGTAAGCAATCTCTAAGACAGCTTTTCTCAACCTTGGCTATTTTTAAGATGTTGGCTGGGGAATTCTGGGGGATGAAGTCCACACATCTCAAAGTTGCCAAAATTGATAAACAATGCCCTAAGAAGCCGATAGTCAGATCTAGAGTAGGAACAAGAGGATGGATAAAGTTCATGGGCAGAACCAAGGGGTACAGTAAGGGGAAGGCATTATTTCTATATAAGTATTCTTAGCACAGCTGTACCACCACCTCTGCATATGTACAGAGGCGGGCAGATTTGTTTCCCAACTGTTTACCATTAACTTCCCAAAATGAGTTGACAATGTTCCCGCAGGGCAGTTTAGGGAAGCCAAAAGAGCTGTAACCGAATATCACTTTAAAAAAGAATGTAAAAGAAATAACTGATGGGCAAAAGGACAAGCTATTAATTTGATGGATCTGGGATTATAAAAGTGTTGTTCAAAAATATGTTGGCCAGTATAAATCCCTGTCCAGTTATTGCCGCTTCCAGCCCACTGAATTGTATTAACTTAAAAGCACCTGGTTTAAAAAGTTATCCAGTTCACATTGGATAGAGATGCTATCTATGGATGCAACCCTGCCTTACCACCCAGCCCCATCACAGCTTTAATGGAGAGAAAAAAAATGATGCATACTTTTTTTCCACACGAGCACTCCAAGTTTTGTCCTTCATAAATAAATCCATTTTAAAAGTGACTAGCCAAAAGAGAGAGAAAAATAACACAGAATTGTTCCAGCTACTATATCGGTTGAAAACGTTGTCCTTTTTTGTACATGACTGGGTTGACAAAAACAGATGCTTCTTTTATACAGGGTGCAAAAAAAAAACCAAAAAAAAACACATTGAGGTGGGCCACTGGCAGAAAATTCTGTCCCTTGTCAGAGGCAGCTAGGTATGTGGCTAATTGCAGTCCACTCAAGGAACTGAACGTCTTTTCTTCATTCTTCCTGCCAATTCCTTTTCATTGACTTCGAGAAAATGTGGTGAACCTCTTCTGTCTTCCCTCTAATCATGTCCTTGTCTTAACACAAGATCATCTCTTAAGAAGACGTCCCACAACTGCTTGGATACACGATACTGCTTGGATATACAGATCCACAGGGTTAAGAGGAAAAAAAACTGAATGAATTCTGAAATGGAGGCTATTGAGCTAGGTTGTGTCCTTCTGTTGAGAAGAGACTGGTGGGCAGAAGAATGTTTCATACCTTTGAATGTCCCAATAGCCTCTACGTTTGATAGAAGAAACTGGCTACATAGTTGGAGATTATTAGACAGAGTTTCCAAAATCGTATTATTCTCTCTTAACTCTGTACTTTCAACCATATGCCTCTAGGTTAAGACTGTGTCCTCATATTCTCTCAGTCTGTTCTCTTAGGTGACCTTTCTTCAAAACATATTCCAAGCTCATAGAGGGAAGCCAACAGTGGGTTAGAGAGCTGGAATTTAAGACAGTTAAGTAAAAAATGATAAACATAAGAGCAGATGATGGACAGAGAGTTTCGTAACAGGCTCACTCAGTGGTATGTCACTTTGATTCCAGATAGAGAGATGGGCTGAAGCCAAGACGTATTTTTCCAGTACAAAGAAGTTGCACTGTCCCAGGCCTTGGAAGGGATACAAGAAGTGGGGAAAGAACAAGGATTATTATTAAGCACCTTCTGGAACTTATTTTTCAGAAGTAGCATCATGGAATGTGCCATAGGATTCTGATTGCCGTTTTCCTGTGTGAATCCCACAATAAGAAATCTGAAGGCTTCTCTACGGGAAGAGGCAGGGATAAATTGGTGGATTAGCTAATAGTCATTTGCTGGCCATATTTGGCCAAAGGACTGCCAGCTACTGACTACTGTAGCAGAGGCTGGAAAACTCTGCAAGAGCGGGCTGGCAGAAATCTTAGGGTGGGGAAAAGAAAGAGCAAAGCCAAGATGTTCCTCCTCCTATAACCCAATCTCTTCATCTTGTTCATCTTCAAAACTGTAGCCCTGTCCCTCCTCTTCTTCTTCTTCTTCTTCTTCTTCCTCCTCCTCCTCCTCTTCCTCTTCTTCTTCCTCTTCTTTTTCATCCTCCTGCTGGGAACATCCCAGTGGGCTTGAGCTCTCATCCCTCAATACATCCTGATCCTGCCCTTTAATATTGTCCCAGTCTTTATCCATCACTCCCAGCACATCCTCCAAGATGGAAGGCCCCAAGTCCAGCTGGAAAGAGAGAAGGGATTCAGCGTGGTCCAGTGTGGGACTCTCCAGGGAGAAGTTCTGTTGCAGGTCCCACCCTTCTCCATTAGGGGGCTTCCAATCAGCCTTCTCTGGGCTCTGCAGTACCACAAAGCTGCCATCAGGGGTTGATGTTGCTGGACTTTGGACTACTCCATTCCCACTCCCAGGAGGGGAGAGCAGTTCAAAGCAACCAGAAACATCTCCAGGAGAACCAAGAGACCCAGGAGACACTGCTACATCGTGAGGCAACCCATTGGTCTTGGTGCCCCCATGGTTGCTGAGGAATGATGTATCCCCAAAAGCATCGCCCCCACGGCCAATGTGCATCGTATGTCGAAAGTCCCCCAAAGGGGCGCTAATCATGGCTCGATCCAGACGGGGCCTCTTTTTGGAATGAGAAACGGGGGACTGCTTGAGGATGGGCATCTGAAAAGAGAGACATAACATTAGGATCCAAAGCATTCCCACTGGAACCAGCACAGCCTCCAAGTTAAATTGCTTTCCTAAAAACCCAGATTAGAATCACAAAATCTGCCACAAAATCCCCCACTGACACCCGTGCACAGCCTAGGGCTCACCTTTTGTGAGACCCAAGAGAACAAAGTGCTATGCTGAGGATAAATAAAAGATCGCACATGCAAGTTAGGAGCCCGAAGCACGAAACCAAAGCACAAGCTATTTATTTATTTAGAAACATTTATATAGCCGAAGCATGAAACCAAAGCATGAGTTATTTACTTGTTTGTTTATTTGTTTAAAACATTTATATAGCTGCCTACCTTAGAGCCAATTCTGGGCAGCTCCCAATCAACTCCCATTGAATTAAGCCTGTCATTTTTGCCCTAACTGAACTTAATCCATTTTTAATCACACCATATATTATTTACTTTACCAATGGCAGGATGTTTGTCTTTAGTGCAAATGTCAATTTGTGATAACCCTCCACTGTAGCAGTCCTTGTCTTCCCAAATTTTGCAGTTTCCTTGACCTCACACTTACTGTCCTCCCTCCTTTCTAGCCAATTCTGAGTTAATCTGCAACGTAGCCTAACACTTTGGGCACAGGACTCATCATGAAATCTTCTGCCGTAATAAATTTGTTCAACTTGAAGGCAGCTAAGAGACTGTTGTGGCTTTCTTCTAAGAGATTTAGCCCAGGAACCAATGATATGAAAGAATAATAATCTCAGAAGACAGTTACCCTGTCTGGATTTATTTTCTTCCAAGGTGCTGATTATGGTGACCATGAAGCTGTCATGTTTTAGCTCCTCTTAGATAAAGAAAAGAAAAAAAATCCTTACATCAAGGCTCTCTCTTGATTTTTGCTCATTCTACCGAATTCACATAAAACCTGCTAAAACTCACAAGGTTGGTGCAAGCGTTTTAGAGGAGCTGATCTGGCTTACCTTCCTCTCAGTCTGAGGGGGCAAAGAGTTTAGATTTTGTGGTAGGCAGAGCCTGGGATAAATGAAAGAGCTGTAGGAGTATTGCTCCCTCCTGACCCAGCTTAGGATATTTTTCACCTACTGGCCACCCCCTTATAACTTGTCCAACCAGTTCTTTGATTGAGGAACACTTAGACTGCTCTGGAAAACTCAAGGATAGAGGACAGAAGAAGATTTTAAGGACAACCGAGAGGAAAAGACCAAACTAAATATCTTTGGTTACTTCTGCGACAGGGGCAGAAATTAGCTGTCTTCGTAGCAGAATATAATATATTCAAGATGTCACAGATCTTCTATAGGATCTATGCTTGAATTTACACAAGACACTAAGACATTATTTACTTAATTGTGATTTATTAAACAACCCACAACTGCCCAGTTTCAACACATTAACCCAGGGGTAGGCAATCTTGGCTCTTTTATGACTCCTGGACTTCAACTCCCAGAATTCCTGAGCCAGCTGCTCAGGAATTCTGGGAGTTGAAGTCCACGAGTCATAAAAGAGCCAAGGTTGCCTACCCCTGTATTAACCCATGGTTAGGAAACCCCAATAGGTTCACTCAGCACACTAAACTGCAATGGGGTAGCTTGTTGTATGAATCCAAACTAGATCTATCCATGGGTAACTGGAATGGATGCATTATCTAAGAAACGGGGAGTTCCTTTCAATACAATGAGGTGAACACTCTTGATAATCAAATCAGAAATATTGGACACTTTGGTATGGAATTTGAGGTGTGGTAGGAAGTGGCTGTTCAAATGGGAGAGAGTTTTCCTCCCCTTGACTCAAATACAGAAAGTCAGATTGCAAGGAAGATCTCCCTCCTTCAAAGTTTTGGATGTTTGCCCCCAAGTATTGCCCTGATGGCATCGCTGCCCCCCCTCCCCCCCACACACACATACCAGGTGGACCAGGCCTACAGACGCTGGCGTTTCTTGTCTCTCCTTGTACCTGCCCTACATTGCAATGTTCTTGTCGGAGGTGTGATGATCTAATAGAGATGATTCATGTTGAATGGGAACAATGGAGCTGCACTGGGGGTGGAAGGGAGACATTGTCTGGGCAAGTGTAGAGGAGGGAGGCAGAGGAGGGGAGAGTCAAACAAGGCTTCTTCCTCCCTCCTGAGATCAGAAAGTGCTGACAGGCGTGGAAAACACAGGCGTGGAAAATGGCCTAAGAGTTGACTCAGCTGTGGGTGGTAAATAAACCCAGGGTAGGTATCAGGAGTCAGGGAGGGGGGAAAACCCTCAGGAGTCCTGAATTCCTTTGCCTTCTCTCCTGAGCTTCACTGTTCCCTTTCCTTGGAATCCAGGAAAAAGATCTCCCACTTGATTATGAAACCCTTTGATACTGATACCAATTTCAGGAGTTGGCAGAAGATGGATGGATGGATGGATGGATGGATGGATGGATGGGGCCCATTTCCTTTGTGGTTGAGAAGGGAAGAGGAATAAAGGACATTACAAGTATTCCTTGACTTACAACAGTTCATTTAGTGACCGAAGTTACAGCAGCACTAAAAAAAAAGTCACTTATGACCTGTTTTTCACACTTACAATCTTTGCAGCATCCCCACGGTCGCGGGATCAAAATTCAGACTCTTGGCAAGCGGTTCATATCTATAACGGTTACAATTGTCCCGGGGTCATGCGATCAGCTTGATTCACTTAACAACCATGTTACTAACTTAACCACTGCAGTGATTTACTTAACAACTGTAGCAAGGAGGGTCGCAAAATGAGTCAAAACTCACTTAACAAATGTCTCACTTAGCCACAGAAATGTTGGGCTCAGTTGTGGTCATAATTCCTTTTTTACTGTATTCCTTTTTTACTGGAAAATATTAGAAGCACACAAGGAAAAATAGCCCAACAGTGTCATCCAGAGATAGTGAGAGGGCCCTCCCCCTTCAAGGATGTCATTTCCTCATGGGGGAATCTCTTTAGGAGCGTGCCCTAGGTGTCCATGAGATCCAAAATAACCAGGGCAGAATTCAGCATTACCTCACAACCTTCTCCTCTTTCACACGCATGAGCAACTCCATGAAACATGTAAAAGGGGGGAGTTGGCATTACATCAGCCCAACAATGCTTCTGACTATTCTACCAAACAGAACTACCTGTTAGTGGGTGCTACTAGCAGTTTGGTAGACATAAAGCCAGTTCTCCGGATTCAGTTCCATAAAGTTACTTTAAAACATGCAGGGACACACAAACATCTCACCTATCCAAAAGCGCTAACATTTTTGCTCAAGATTGCAATGCAGCTACAGAGGGCAGTTGCACAAAAGGTGCAACTGCTTTAAAGAACTTTTTGGAACTAAACCCAAAGGGTGCACAGGCTGAAGAACCTGTGTCACAGCCTGTAGTGATGTGAAAACTGCCTAGATCAATGTTTCTCAACCTTGGCAAGATGTGTGGACTTTAGTTCCCAGAATTCCCCAGCCAGCATTTCATGGCCTAAATGAAAAGACCTCGTCAACCTTTCCACAAGAAGCACCATCCTCCCATCTTCCTTGATTCAGGCCGTGCTACTCTTTCTTTCTGCCATCCATCATCTCTCTTTGTGAAGTCCTTGAAACAGGACTCTGGTTTCATGGACAATATTCATTTCCCCAGTCCTCTGGAGTCCCCAGGCCTGATGGCACAACCAGGTTTTGTTGCCTTGGGGCAGGGGTAGGCAACCTTGGCTCTTTTATGACTCGTGGACTTCAACTCCCAGAATTCCTGAGCCAGCCATGCTGAGGGGAAAGAGAGGTTTCCAAGCTGAGCCATGCTGGCTCAGGAATTCTGGGAGTTGAAGTCCACGAGTCATAAAAGAGCCAATGTTGCCTACCCCTGCCCTAGGGAAAGACAAAAGGGATGAGGCCAACCTCACTTTCAGGGAAAAGGATATTCCATAAAGAAGGAGCCCCCAGAGAAAAGGCCCGCTGCTTAGGACCCACCAAATACAGCTCTCTAGCCCAGGGGTCCCCAACCCCCGATCCATGAACCAGTACCTGGCCACAGCTTGCCAGCAACTGGTCCGCACAAACAATCAAAGCTCCACCTGCGAGATGCAGGCAGCACACAAAACCACGCACCCTCCGGTCCTTGGAAAAACCTCTCTCCATGGAATCGGTCCCTGGTGCCCAAAAGGTTGGGGATCGATGCTCTAGCCAGTGTTTCTCAACCTTGATAACTTGAAGATGTGTGGACTTCAACTCCCAGAATTCTCCAGCCACTATGATGGCTGGGGAATTCTGGGAGTTGAAGTCCACTCATCTTCAAGCTGCCAAGGTTGAGAAGCACTGCATATCCTCTCTCCTGGGTCTGGTGGGACAGGCAGATGTAATTGGGGAAAGGCAGTCCCTCGGGCAATCTGGTCCCATGCCATGTAGAGTTTTAAAGGTGAAAACCGTCCCCTTGAATTGGACCCAGAAACAAACTGGAAACCAATGCAGCTCACAGAACAGAACGGAACAGAACAGAACAGAGGTGCAACATGTGTTCCAGAAAGACAAAAAAGCTGCAGTCCTCTGCATGACCACAAGTGAGCCCAAAATTTATGTTGATAAGTGAGGCATTTGTTAAGTGAGTTTTGCCCCATTTAACAACCTTTCTTGCCACAGTTGTTAAGTGAATCATTGCACTTGTTAAATTACTGACAGGCATTAAGTGAATCCAGCTTTGCCATTGACTTTGCTCGTCTGAAGGTCACAAAAGGTGGATCACGTGGTCTAGATTTTGATCATGTGGCCATGGGGATGCTGCTACAGTCATAAGAGTGAAAAATGGTCATAAGTCGATTTTTTTTTCAGTTTTGTTGTAACCTTAAACGGTCACTGAATGAACCGTTATAAGTCAAGGACTACCTGCAACAGCCTGTAACAGCTGAAACATTTTGCAGCAGCTGAAGCTTCCAGATCCACTTCAAGGGCAGCCCCACCAAGAGCACATTACAGTAGCCCAACCATGAGAAGTTATTAAGAATTCTTCCAAAATGGAATAATCCAGCATTATAGGCAGTCCTCGAGTTACAACCATTTTTTTTAGCAACTGTTTGAAATCACAACGGCACTGGAAAAAGCTCTGATGATCAGTCCTCGTGTTTACAATCGTTGCCATCACACAATCAAAATTTGGGTGCTTGGCAAATGGCAGGCATTTACAATGGTTGCAGAATCCTGGGATCATGTGATGGTCATTTGTAACCTTCCCAACCTGGCTTCCGATGAGCAAAGTGAATGGAGGGGGGAGCAGGATTCGCTTAATGACGTGATTCACTTAAGAAGGACTATAATTCACTTAACAGTCGTGGCAAAAAAAAGGGGCATAAAAGGTGTGCCTTGTCCTACAACCACCATGCTTAGCATTGGAAATTCTGGTCCCAATCCTGGTCATAAGTGGAGGACTCTAACAGGACTGTCAAGTAGCTTCCTAGGCAAGCCACGGAAGAGATCCAAGCTTGCTTGATTTCTGCTGAAACGTGTGGTACAGGGACAACTTATTCCATGAGGAGTCCTATTCGGAAGCAGGCTCTTAAATGCAATCCTCTTAAAGCCGGAGTCCTTGACTATTCTTTTAGGAGATAATTGGCCACAAAGTGGCATAAGTGCCCACTTACAATGAGCTTAAGCCTGCTGAAGCTTAAGAATGGAAGGAGCAAAGCGAGAGGAAGAGGCAGGTGTGTCTCTTCTCAGATGAAGTTTAAACCAAAATATCCCGAGGGATAAGGAAGGCTTCTTACTTTTTAAAAATGAAAATGAATTCACTGACTGTTATGGGAAATGCTCTTCTAGCACTGGGACAACGGGGTGGGTCGAAGGAAGTATCCTGAGAAAGCCATATGCATGTGTTTGTGGGAAGCGTAACTCACACATCGGCCGATAGAAAAATGGATCGTCCTTAAATCAGTGCCAAAGGTGCTTTTTTAAGAGGCAGCTGGACTTCCTTCAGTTTTTTCCTGAAGACCTTTCGCTTCCTTCTTCAAGAAAAACAAAAAAAAGTCCAGTTGCCTCTTGAAAAAGCACCTTTGGGACAACCATGCTTGGATGACTGAGAATCTCCACAGACCCTTAAACCAGTGTTTCTGTCTTAGGACAATCTGGCTGGAGAATTATGCCAGGTGGCTGGGGAATTCTGGGAGTTGAAGTCCACATATTTTCAAGCTGTCAAATCCTGTCCTAAGCTACATACCTGATCAAATAAGCTTTTATCAAATAAGTCTATTTTCCATCAAGCCTTTTTGCTTGAAGCTCCCAACTTGAGGGCTGCCTCAAGTTTGTGCAGCTTGTGGACGAGACACTTTCATTTGGTGTGGGTTTGTTTTTTTTTTTAAAAAAATGCTTTTCAGCAGAATCCCAGCCTTCAGGAATGGCACGTTGGCTGTCTACCACGAAAATACATCAGGAGGGCATGCAAAAATGTAACACAGGGAACAGCTGAAAATCAAAACCACTGGATCTGACATGATCTTGGCATGGTCCCAAGCAGGCTAATTCTAAAAAGTCTCTTGGGAAAATATATCTATTCCTCTTCCTTCCATCCTTCCCCTCTCTGTCTGCGGATGACAGATATGGTTACTAGCCCCAGAGGACAATGACGGAATTTCCTTCAAAAGAAATTGACACAAACTCTTTGGAAATGCTTGTGTACAGCTGGGATTAAGGAAACAGTTGGGCACTGGACAGGGGTGGGATCTGGTGGAATTGTCTAGCTCTGGTGGAGCGGAGAAACTTCATCTGTGTGGAGAAGGGGGCCCATATTCTGGATTTATCTAGAAAAGGAACTAGAACTAGCAAGTAGGAGGTGGAGAATGAGTTAGAAACAGGTATCCTGGGGTCCTATAGAAAAAAGGAGATCTAATGGGCTATTGGGCCAAAAAAATAGAATTGGCATTTCAAGGGAAGGGTTGGTGGACCAGGAGAAAAATCTAGGGAATCCCAGAACAAAGGATCTAGAAGGAAAAAGAGGACATTTTGTAGCAGGAGTCCTCCAAGAACTAGGTTCTTCAAGAGGAGAACCTCAAAACAGTGGGTAAGAGGGAGCTGGAAGGTGGTTGCATTGGAAGTTTTGAGATGCCAGGAGAAATATCCCAAGAAGCCCAGGCAGAGATCTGTGGCTGGGGAAGGGGGGGTGTTATTTGGCCTAACGACACACCCCTCTCTGCATCTTGCTTTCAACCTGGCTGCAATTTGATTTATGATCACTCATTTATTCCTTCCCCTCCAGACACACACACAGACATTCAAGACTTTGTGCTACCACACCCCCAAGTTTCCTTTTAATCCTTGTGCGAGATTAAAGGTCAGCTCACCCCCTGCTCACCCTACCCCCCCTTTAAAGAAGAGGACTATCCAAAGAGATCCTCCTTTCCCAATGCTTCTGCTGGCCACCTGGCTAGGTTAGCTGTTCCCCAGGTGAAATGAGAGGCATACTTTGCTTTCTTTTTCAGCTCTCCTGTATTTCATTTTGACCCTACAATCCTCTGCTATAGAAGCGGCACCTTAGTTTTCAGCCCATCAGCTAGCCGTATTAAAATCTCGCTCCATAGAAGGGGACTAATGAGCCCCAGTTCCTGAGCTGGCTTCTTTTACTACAGCAAAAGCTACAGACGCAGCAGCCGCCACCACCCCTCCCCGTCCCGCCGCAACCCCAATTCCCTGCAGCCAGGAGAAACGTCAGATGATTCAACACATGTCTTTCTCCGACTGCCCAGTCAGAGCTCCCAGGCACCGAAAGATAAGGGGGGGGGGGAAAGCGGCGTTAAGTCTAGCAAACTCACCTTTGCTAAAAAAAAGAGCGCTGCAACTGCCTTTTTCCCACAGCTCAAGTGACTCACAGGAACGTCCCGACTCTCTTCCTGCTTTTGTAGTCGCCCCAATCCGCTGCCTCCGCCAAGGGGCAGTGCCAAAGCAACCCACAAAAAAAAAAGGAAAAGAAAAAAAACAACCACTCAATATCCTCCCAGCGTTCGGGAGTTGGATCCTGTTCCACTTTTGTCCAGCGACGTCCGGGAAGTTTGCTTCAAGTTCTCAGAAATCCCCGGAAAATTTCCTTTTTTTCCCCTTTCATTTGTCCACCTCTCCTGCTCCCTTCTTTCTTTTCCTTCTTCTTCACCAGCTTGCACTCCACCCCTCTTGGGTGGTGGCCCAGAAGGTTATTTATTTATACCTGAAGAAGAAAGAAAATAATGCAGATGTCAGAAACACCAACGAAAATCCAAACTGCGCCACAGAGGATATGTCAGAGAAAAACTGGGAGCTAGAAGCCAAAACAAATATTATCCCTGGGCAGTAAATTTAAACACAAACCCACACATTAGAGGGGGAAAAAAACAATCTCCAATTTTGTATAAAGTTCAGCACATTCTTGAATTCTGGAGTTTGGTTGGCATATTCAGAAACCCAACTAAGAACAGGCTAAGGACGAGTAGCAGACAATGCAGGGATCTGAAAGGAGCACCTCTAAATGTTAGGCTTCAAAAGTGAAGTGGCAAGTGAACCGAAGCACTGGGATGTGTGACACACACACACACACACACACACACACAGAGAGACTAGTTAGACAAGGATGGCTGAACTAGCCTCACACCTTCACCTTCACTTTTGCAGTTGTGTGGGAAGAAAAAAAGGATCAGCCCCATGGAAAGAGTGTTAGAACTGCCTTACTTTGAAGTACGGGCAGTCCTTGACTTATTTGGGAGCAGAATTTCCGTTCTAAATAAAAGCAGTTGTTAAGTGAATCACACCCAATTTTACAATCTTTTTGCCATGGTTGTTAAGCGAATCATTGCAGTTGTTAAGAGAATCATGTGGCTGTTAAGGTTAAGCGAACCTGGCTTCCTCCATTGACTGGAGGAGAAGTTGCAAATGGCGATTATGTGACCCCAAGATGCTTCAACTATCGTAAATACATGCCGGTTGTCAAACACCCAAATTTTGATCAGATGACCATGGGGATGATGTGACTGGCTCTTGAGCATGAGGACCAGTTCTAAGTCATTTTTTAAAAAATGATGTAACCTTGAATGGTTGCTAAACAAATGGCTGTATGTCAAGGATTACCTGTAGAGTTACATCCTTGAAGGAGATCAGCAATCTAGAACCACTAACACAGTCAGAAATTTAAGAAGTGACTGGCTGAGGGGACATACCCATACAGACAGAGTCAAGTTCACTAGTCCTCTACAACTGAAACATACAAAACACACAACGCATCTCCTTTGTGTCCCCCTCCTTAACTTTCTAGCCCTTAGTATTGGTTCTGAAGATATGACTGCACAAAAAATTGCATTGTGCTACATCTACATCTTTCCCAGATAATTTCAGTTCTTTGGTGTGGTGGCAATAGCAGCAATTTTGACAAGCCCCCTTCTATAGATACTTTATATTTCAAATATTTCTTAATTAACGAATATTTTCTGAAGTGTTAAAGTAACAGAAGATTCAAGTCTGGCTTTTTAAAAAAGAAAAATGCATGTATTCATGTACATGTGCACATATTTATACATAAATCACAGAGACAAAGAGCAACATTTAAAGCACCATTCCAATAGAATGCAATAAACACATTAATTACAGTACATGAGATGTTGTATAGATCAGCATTTAAAACATATCTTGGTTTAAAACCTGTTTTGCCAAGCAGACACAGCCTGTTGATCAGTATAAAACATAATCCATGGTCTTTTAACATCTCATATGCATTTTAAAGAACCCAATAATGGTGAGTAATCAGAGAAGGAAAAAAAGAGGGAAATAGCTATCAGTAATAAACTTTCTATGTGAAACTCTTCATAAATACGGATCTACAACAGCAAGAAAACCAGACCATTTCCTTCTAATATGCTAGCTCCTTTTCAGAGTTGTTTAATAGATTGCTTTTTTACTATAGCTTTCTTATAATATCTGAATATGTCTGAATTTTTACTTTTAATAGAAAGATAGACTAAGAAACCAAACAAACATATATATGGTTTATGGCAACAGCAGTTACTATATAATATAGTGTACTCTGCACATGTTTGAAGACACCTTTCCTCCTCACTGAAGTAATCCTTGAACTGACCAGAATAGAAATAAAATCCTGATACAAATTTTTCTGCCATTGATATTTTGCCTCTGACTAAGAAGCTCATTTTCTCCTTTGGAGAATGGGTGAAGAGACCCACAGATAAATGATTCCTTTGTTATAAAAGAATAACACAAGAGGAATGAGGAAAAAGATTCTTGAATCAGCCTGGATTTCAGGATATCCCTATCCGTTTGTTTGTTTTTAATTGAGCAATTGGGTCAAATCAGGGTTGAGAAACATGGTGGGCCCACTGTCCCTGCATTTCAATGGATTGATGTACTGTTGGAGATAGAAAGAGGGTGAAATTAAGGCAAGGAAAAGACTAAAGGATGAATGGTTCAAGAGGGGAAGAGTGATTGCTCTGAAGATCAGTTAATGTTTTTCTTTAAAAAAATGGGAAGACAGATCTGGGTTGGTGTGTGGAACACAGGGGTGAAAGAGGTTAGTGCAAATAGCCATAAATCTCAGAGTTGAGGACTTTTTATCTCTCTTTGTGAACATCAGGTTCAAAGCTTATATTTCAGAATGGACAAAACAAGAAATGGGTAAAGAGATCAAAGGGTGAGCAAGAGACAGCTATGGGTCTCTGTAGCCCCCTTCCACCACATCCCTCCCCCATCTCAGCATCTTTTCCTGGTCTTCATTTAGCTATAGCAGGGGTCCTCAACCTTGGCAACTTTAAGCTTTGCTGGCTGAGGAATTCTGGGAGTTGACATCCACAAGTCTTAAAGTTACCAAGGTTGGAGACCCCTGAGTTATAGCATTTTTCCCCCAGAGAAGAGTGTTGAGGAGGGTCTTCATTTCTGCATGCTCAACTTGGTTTCATTTAAGAAGCTCTTGCAAGCCGGTCATCTGAACTGGCATACTTGATCTCAATCCTTCCTATTTTATTGCATGTCTAAGTTGTAACTTTTTTCCTGTTTTATTAGCCCTATAAAAATGGATACCATCATGCAGTTTGGAAGAGGCAAACCTATGATTAAAAAAAACTATGGTTAGCCTAATGGAATATATCGCCTTGGGACAGTTCCTATGGCACCTTCGAGCTCTGCCTAGCTTGAGTTTCCTTTCATTTTAAAAGAAACAGCATTGCGGTAGAGCAAGTGTTCTGTTTTTAACATCAACTTTCTTAAGGAGAAGGCCTTGGGCCTCAAATATCTCTGCAGAGAATAAAAAGTTGAAACCCCAGTTGGTTATTTTGAAATGCCCCACCTGCTCAAAGAGGAAGAGAGAAAAACTGAAGGAGGATAGAAGATCTTGGAAAGGTTAGTAAGGAAAACAAATTAAAACTATTTCTCTTTAGGGAAAAATGTCAGGATTGCCCATGCCTTGAATTTGATTTTGATTTATTAATATCCCACCTGTATTATTTTTACAAATAACTCAAGGCAAATGAACAAATCCAACACACCTTTCTCCTCCTATTTTCCCCATAACAATAACCCTGTGAGGTGCGATGAAGCTAAGGTGAGACTTGAACTCATGGTCTCGCACTTTCTAGCCTGGTGACTTAATCACTAGACCAGGGGTGGGCAACTATGGCGTCTTCATGGCCTTGGACTTCAACTCCCAGAATTCCTGAGTCAGCATGGCTAGCTCAAGAATTCTGGAAGTTGAAGTCCACAGGTCCACCCCTGGTATAGTGATTAAGGTACCAAGCTAGAAAGAGCGAGACCATGAGTTCAAGTCTCACCTTAGCATGGTTGGCTCAAGAATTCTGGGAGTTGAAGTCCACAGGTCATAAAGTTGCCATGTTGCCCATCTCTGCACTAAACCAAACTGGCTCTCAGTTAGGATGATACCTATTTAGTGAGCAAGAAAACCCTCTTTCTGTGAGAGTACCTTGTCACACAATCTCAACAGTCTTTTTAAAAAGCCATCAAGAAAGCATACAGAGATTGGCAAACACCAGTTCAAATCATAGTGAGCATCATCTGTGCAGCAAGGGATGCTGGGAACTATGGTTCAGAGACCCTAACTAAGCTTCAGGTTGCCCCACACTCCTCGACTATTGTCTCATACAACCATACAGTGATGGTCCTTAACTCAGCCTCCTGGAAGTAGTTTTGGGCTCAAGAAACACAATTCAGGTTAAATGCATCAGCTATTTTCTTAGAATCCTGTATTATTCTGATTAGACTAAAGAAAGAATTAGGAGTTGTCTCATCCACTCATGACAGTAGCAGCCTATCATATTAAAAATGTGAAATGATTCTCAAGTGAAGAGCAGAAGCAGCTATCATGGAATATATGCAAACCTATTTAAAAATAAGCAAAATATGGGACCTTTGGGGGAGGGTGAGAAAAATAGAATATTGATTTAACTATAGGAGATCAACCATATGACTAATGGTTTATTTAATTGGAAAGCTGTTTCTACTTTTTTATGCCTTTAGGCACTGGCAAATTGGTGTCCTTGAGATGTTCTGGAGTTTGAGATCCATCATCTTTGTCCAGCCAACAGTCAGGTACTAAGAAAATACAAGCCAAAAGATCCAGACACTTTCAGGTTGCCTATCGTCAGTTAAAAACATCTGATCCACCCCAAACGAGAAATTAAATCTTTGTTCAACAGTATACTAAAAATCTCCCATGGTTCTCTCTTCATAAACCGATGGGATTTGTTCCACTGCATATTACTACTTATCAGAATCTGAGTTTTGATTCTGCTGTCATATGAAAGTTTGCCTACACAGAGGTGCAAGTATTAAGACCTGTGGACTTCAACTCCAGAATTCCCAGGCTAGCCAAGGCTGCTGGGGAATTCCGGGAGTTGAAGTCCATAGGTCTTAAAGTTGCCAATGTTAGACACTCCCGCTTTAATTAGAGTAAAATTGAATAGGCTTTC